GAAGTCTTTAGACTTGAGGGTTTCATTGGCGCACGCAACCCGGATAGGCCGGGCGAATCTGTGTCGATTGTTGAAATACATGATCATGAGGAAGTTGAACCAATGCCTCTTGCCAGGATTGACAAGTCTGAGGTGGACAAGATACCATATTTCACAGGTGTGTCGATTCCTCTCGCCCATTTTTGCCCTAAAAATCATGACAGTGTCTGAGGTAAAATATGGAGAAATTATTCCTAGTGACCACTAGTTACTAGTTCTAGCTCCTCGAACTTCGACATAGCCTATGATGAGCAAATATATTCCACTTGGGTCTTAGAAACATTCAGCATGTCAGCAAATCACTAGGAGTCTCTTTCGACGGCTTTGAACATCAAGTCATGCTCTTATTTGCCGAACTAGAAAAAAAGATGTGGGAACAGAGGAAAACAGATGAGTCTACCGAAAAGACCAGAAAGAACCAAAGCTCGGGCGGGTCAAGAGAACTCAAAAGGTTGCAATATACCATTAATTATGAAGGTAGAAGTAAGAAGAGCTTGAAGGTGGGGGACAAGGACTTGGGTTGGCAATCGCTTCCGACCAAGGGGACAATTGAGGATAGCCTCCTTATCTGGAACAAAGAGGTTGTCGAACATAAAGACTCCATCATTAGTGAGGTTATTTCTTCCTCTTTTTTTGTAAACAGAAGGGATTGTGGTGAGTGGTTCTTCTCAGGTGTCTATTGTGGAGAGAATGCAGAGGAGAACTCTTTGTTATGGAATGAGCTTTCTGATTGTCTAAACAGATGGGGTAACAAGAGTGTGATGGGGGTGACTCAACATGACTCCGAGCCGCAATGAGTTGTCGGGAGAACATTTCTCTGCCTCTTGTGCCACTGAATTCAACGATCATATTGATCGGCTCAACTTGATTGATTTGCTACTTACTGGGCGCCAATGGACGTACAGTAATCAAAGCGATCCACCCTTTTTTCCAGAATTAATCAGTTTTTTGTGGCTCCCAATTTCCTATTGCATTGCTCTGATTTGATTCAAAAGGTATTTTCTAAACCCATCTCTGATCATTTCCCAAATTTTCTTGCATCTGATGGTATTAAATGGGGTCCTGTCCCCTCCCGATCTGAGACCAAATGGCTAAAAGTTGACAGTTTCAAGAATTTAGTGCATAGGGTGTGGAACAATATTATTGTTGAGCGTACTGCTACTTATAGAATTGCTTTCAAATTCAAAAGGCTTAAATCTGAGATAAAAGCTTGGACTAAAGAGTTGGTCTCAAGGAGGAGGGGCACATTAATGATACCATGAGGGAACTTACTAACCTTGACTCTCTCGAGGGCTGCTCAGGTTTCTCCCTCAAGGGATTATCAAAACGGAACAAGCTTAGAGCTGATTTGGTAAATAGTCTTCACATAGAAGAATTTCGCGGAAACAAAAATCTAGAAAGAAGTGGTTACAAGAGGGAGATAGGAACACAAAGTTCTTTCACTGTCTTTCAAACCATAGAAGAAGAATTAATTATGTAGAGGAGATGCATATTGAGGAGAACTCTATCTCGGACAATGAGGCCATGAGAGAAGGCGCAAAAGCTTTTTTCCAGAAGGATCATTTTCAAACCTAAATTGGACAACCTCCTTTTTGAAAGCTTAGACGAATTTAATCGCACACAATTGGAGACCCCTTTCTCTGAGGAGGAAATTTGGGATGTGCTTTGCAACTGCAACAGGGACAAGGCCCCTAGACCTAATGGTTTCAGCCTGAAGTTCTTATAGAACTTTTGGGACCATATAAAGGAAGATGCCCCGGATATGTTCTCTGATTTACCCAGATCCGAGTCCTTTGTAAAATCCATGAATGCCACCTTCATCGTCCTTATACCCAAAAAAGAGGGAGTCAAAGAGATTAGTGAATTCATGTCAATCAGCCTAGTCAGAAAAATCAACAATACTATCAATATCATACTCAAGTATGGTAGAGCCAAAATAGTTAAACCAATTGTCTTTTAAAGTGTTGAAGTCTAATTCTTTTCCGTCAAAAGCACATTTGTTTCTTTCTTTCCAAATGACCCAAAATACCGTGAGGGAGGTGAGTTTAAAGAGCTTGTTTCTTTTGCTAAGACATTCCCAAGCAAAAAGTTCCCCAAAGGCTGTGATTGTCATGACCCAAGAAAGCCCCAATAGGCCAAGAATCATTACCCAAAGTTTGTGAGAGAAAGGACACCAAAGTAGAAGATAATTACACGATTCCAGTCCCATTTTACAGAAGTAACACCTGTTTGCGATAGGAATTCCTCTTCTCATAAGATTATCCTCTTCTCATAAGATTATCCAAGGTAAGAATTTTTTCTTTAGCAGCTTCCCATGCGAAAAAAGAGATTCTGGGTGGGGCTACAGATT